CCCGAGCGCCCTGTGCCCATTAGGGCATTTGAGATAAAGCGATAAGAAGGGTGAGGGGCCCTGAAGCTGAGTGGGCGCAGATAGGTGGGGCGGGGGCCATCGGAGAAGAGCCAGCGGATTGACTGGGAGGGTTAGTAGAGGTAAAAGTGATAGGGCTAAATGGGGGAAGGTGAATAAAGAATGGGGGGAGGCGTGCACGGGTGACCGGGGAGGTGGGCTGTGGGGCTTACAGGGGCCCGGGGCCAAACGAATCCGGCAGGAAAGGTAGGGGAATGGTCGGCAGGCCGGGTTCAAAGCTGCAGGCAGTCCGTTGCACCCGGCTTGGTGGTCCGGGAACTTTAGGGGAAATGGGGGAGGGGCCCGTGTGAAGGGATGAAGAGGTTTAGATTTGAGACATAAGTTCTCCAAATGTAGGCAGGTGGCATTGTTTGGATCGCTGGCTGCTTAGGGACTGCGGGAAGATGGGCTCTTTGGGGGAGGGTGTGTGTATTGAGTTGTAGAACTGAGTCATCTCAGTCTTACTATAAGAGGCTGTGGGAGGGACACCTCCCCCTCTGCTGGGGACAGCATTCAGAGAAGATGGTGCCACAAGACAAGAAGCAGTTGTTCAGTGACTGGCAGGACTTGGTTGAGAAATTATTCCAATCGTGATTGATTGACTGTAATGACTGTGAGGACATTTAAAATGAACACCGAATTATTTGCTTTATTCTGTAATTTTCTTTGACCCAAATTGTTTTCATTTTAAATGAACACTTTTGCCAACTGAATTTAATGTGGATGTAAATCTTGTCATGCTTTTTTACACTGTAAGAAGAGCTAAAGCAGAATGAAAGTATGGCTGCAAGCGTAACTCACACTTTCTAAAGTGCCAAGAGAGGAAGTAAAGGCAGTAAGAGGCAAATTGGAATGCGAATCTTTCACAGAACACAAAAGGCACAAACAGGGCTATAAGATAAACAGAAAATGAGAATGTTTAATCTCTACTAATTGGCCTAGCTTTAAAAATTGTACCCTTTTTTACTCTAACCTGGAAAAAAATCTTAAATCCAAGCAGTTTTTATTGCTAAAGATGTGATTACTTCTCCGTGAATTTTTGAAGATGCTAAAGACACTTTGTTTTTTTGTCTTTCGACCCAGTCTTAAAACACTGGAACAGTGCAGATATCAAGTCCCAACATGTGCACTGCAGCTTCTTTCATGTGATGACAAAATTGTACGCCATGTTGCAAGTCCTGTTCACCTAAAATTTGCCCTTGCATAGTAATCCATTCAGTTATGGAGACTTGCTGAAGAAACATAACTCAAGTGAAGTTTGTTGGGGGTGAGGGCCTGCAGGGGAGAGGTGGGGGAATTAAAGGAGAACAGGGTGTGAAAGTGATGTGTGTTTGGAGACTGATTGGTAAGAATGCAGATAAACCTGCCCCCAGAATGCTTTTGGCCTGAAAGCCTTTTCTTTTTGTATTTGTCAGAGAATATCATAGTAGAAATGAATCAGAAAGAAAGGGGATGTAAAGAGTTTTACTTGGCTGTTTATAAAAAAGAAGCAGCATTAACTTGTTCAGACAATGTTGATATCTGTTTCAAATTAATTAACTTTAAAATCTCCAGAGGAATTCCCCCGTTTGCTTTTGAGTGACGATCGCAATTTGAGACTCTTGCCTCCTTGCGTGTTTCTTTCATGTTGTTGAAATTGGATTCTTTTTGAGGCTATAATATCCAGTTAGTATGGCTCAGTCCACTCAACAAGCAGGCTGGCAATTTGATCAGGGAAATTTGAAAAGTTTAAACCCAAGAGCAGTTTGCTTGGTCTTGCTTTTTCTATGAGAGTAAAACTGTCTGCCTGATAGTTCTGTGTCTAGCTCAGAGGTGATATCTTTCTCCTGTGGGCTTGGGAACATACTCTCTCTTTTGCAGGTAGGCCCTTCTTTTCCTTTATTATTATTGTCTGCATAATTACAGCTTTTGCTACAGAGCAAACCCAGTTACCTTTTCATTAATTAATGTTCATGACATTAATTCAGTAACAGATTAATGTTTGATAATGTAGAGGAAGAGAGATCAGAACACATGTTAACAGACTAGATATTGGCTGGATGTACTTCTTTTAAAGCCCTCAACAGTCTGCTACTACTACTGAGATTCATTCCCTATTTCCCCTCTTAGATCCTGTTTCTCTTCTTCACACCTTTTCCTACCCACCCACGAAACCCCCACCACTCACTCATCTTAAAACTCAGGTTTAGGAGCATATGTTTAGCGTTCAGAACTCATGGCCCTCTACTGGAGAAAAGAAAACCTTTTTATACCTGTTTTACATAGTTGTTTTTTCCCTCTCCTTCTTTGTGGTTTCTGTTAATCACTAAGGTTTACACCCAGTGTGCCTGGTGGGCTGTGCCCAGGTTCAGAGTCATGCCACTCTGTGGGTGAAGCTTGAGGCAATAATGGAACCACTTCAGCAGCAGCAGCAGCAGCAGCAGCAGCAGCAGCAGCAGCAGCAACAGAAGCAGCCACACCTGGCTCCTCTGCAGATGGATGCCAGAGAGAAGCAGGGCCAGCAGATGAGAGAAGCCCAGTTCTTGTATGCCCAAAAGCTGGTCACACAGCCGACTCTCCTTTCCGCCACACCTGGGAGGCCTTCTGGCAGCACTCCCTTAGGTCCCTTAGCCAGAGTTCCACCCACCACAGCAGTGGCCCAAGTCTTTGAACGGGGCAACGTGAACTCAGAGCCTGAGGAAGAGGATGGAGGTTTGGAAGATGAGGATGGGGATGATGAAGTTTCGGAGGTGGCTGAGAAAGAAACCCAGGCTGCTTCAAAATATTTTCATGTGCAGAAAGTAGCTTGCCAAGATCCCAGAGTGGCACCCATGTCTAATCTACTTCCAGCACCAGGGCTGCCACCACATGGACAACAAGCTAAAGAAGACCATACCAAAGATGCTTCCAAGGCCCCACCTTCTGTCTCCACAGCAGGGCAGCCAAATTGGAATCTGGATGAGCAGCTCAAGCAGGTCAGTCTTTCTGGTATTGGAGGTCATTTGTTCTTAAAGGCTAAAGAGGGGTAATGGACTGACAGGGTCAGGGGCTGTGCCAGTCTGTGCCTTCTCATCCCACTTCAGTGACCGACAGCCTAGACATGAATAGACTTTGGATTTTTTTCTTATTTAATATTTTCTTCATTAAAGCAATGAAATGCATGTTACTCTTTTTTTTTTTTTTTTTTTTTTTTTTTTTTGTGATGGAGTCTCTGTCGCCCAGGCTGGAGTGCAGTGGCATGATCTCAGCTCCTTGCAACCTCTACCTTCCGGGTTTAAGTGATTCTCCTGCCTCAGTTTCCTGAGTAGCTGGGACTATAGTCGCATGCCACTACGCCTGGCTAATTTTTTGCATTTTTAGCAAAGATGGGGTTTCACTGTGTTAGCCAAGATGGTCTCGATCTCCTGACCTCATGATCTGCCCACCGCGGCCTCCCAAAGTTTTGGGATTATAGGCATGAGCCACTGCCCCTGGCCTGTATGTTACTCTTAATATAGGTTTTTCCAAGTTTGATGTGAAAGAATGTCAATACAATCTCGTTTTTTAAAGGAAAGATGAAGTTGCAATAGTGTTGTGAGGAATATCTAAAATGAGATGTGTGACTAATTACAGCTTTTCTAATAATAATGTTTTCTAATAGTAATGTAAAAGAACATTCTTGCCTAAAACAGTTTCTTAGCTCCAGGCTAACCCTCTTAAGGACAGTTGGTTGTTTTGGAGCTACACACAGGTGACAAGAAGCACTTGCGTTGCGTATATTTTCCAAAAGAGAGCCTTTGTAGACATGATTTCATTTCACTCTTACATCATCCCCTTGACAACAGGGAAGGGTAGACCTCAAAATTTCCTTTTTAGTCAAGGAAAGCTGAAGTGACTTCCAAATGGCTGAGGGAGCTTTTTAAAAAATACAGATTGCAGAGTCCTAATGAATTATCTTGGAGGGTGGAGCCTAGGGAATCTGTTCTCAACCAAGCCTTTGACTTGTGATTCCTCTTCTCTTTGTGACCCACAATATAGTTTTTCCTTGCCCAAAGGATGGGAGTGCTGATAAGTTGTTCCAGGTTAAGTGACTTGTTGGTGCTTAGGAAGGGAGTTCATGGGTACCCTGCAGAAGCACACACACTTCTTGTGATCCAGTGGTACTGTTTAGAAATCATTTGTGAAAAGCTGTGAGTTTTCACAGGGCAACTGAGAAGTCATGTAAGAAAGGTTCTTTGGAACCTGAAAAATCAAACATCTTGGATCAGGAGGTCTGTACTCAGTAGATCTGAGTTTTACAACAATAGTGTTTGCAGCCAGAAGTGGGGTTCAAATCCCATCACTTCCAAATGTTGCCCTTGTGATCTTTTAGTAGGGCTCTGAGTTGCTTTGAGCCTGTGTCTTCTCATCTGTGAAATAAAAAGGATGCCAGTGCCTCCCACGGATGTTGTAAGGATTAACCGAACTAGCACACGTGAAAGCCTGTCCAGTGCCAGGCACATGGTAGGTAATAGTGCCCGGGGAGCTATTTTATGTAAACAGTGCCACCGTCTCCTGCATCACACAAACATGCCTCTGAAGTGGGAGAGGTACTGAGATACACAGAGGTTTTCGCTGACATCACCCAGGGAGATAGTGGCAGAGCTAGGACTAGAATCAGAGAATCCCAACTTCCACGACAGCAGCACCCTGGCCGCCAGCCCAGACCCGCCTCCCACTGATTGCTTTGGTTTAGCAAAACATCTGTGAGTTGCCGGCTGCCCCCGCACTGCTGTGTGGTTGGCAGAGTTCCATACCGGCCGCTGAGTCAGCTCATAGCGGGATCCTGCCCTGACAGCGCTGGGAAAGTTCAGGCCCGAGGCCCGAGGCGGCTGGGCTGCCCCCGCCTTGGCAGCTGGCCAGCGTCTGTGTGTGTGCGGTCGTTCCTAGAAAGTGCAGCCGCATGCGAGGAACAAGTGGAGCTCCAGAGCCTGTCTTCAGGAAGTGTAGCAGGTGTTGAGGTCAAGCCATTAGAGGTTTAAAAAAAGACTCTTCAGAACTGGTGTGTGCATGTGCACATGTGTACACCGTGGCAGGGCACCCAGCACCAAGTTATCTAGATGGTGGCAGCCCTGTGACACTTAGCTCAGTATTCAGGGGGCTGGCTATTGGCATTTGAAACTCTTTGAATTCACTTTATGTTTCTGAGGCATATTCACTAATTATAGACTGCCTGGCAGAGCACCTGCCAAAATGTTTTATAAATACCAGAGTAGCTGAGGCATAATCCATTACCCGAAATTTACCTTCCCCCAGGATTTGGAGATCAAGAACTGAAATAGGGGGGCTTTGGGTAGCAATGACTTAAACCCTCAGATGTGCACCTCTTTTTCCTCTTTAATTTTTAACATTGATTTGGTCTGTGCTCTCCTTATCTATAAATCCTACTTTTAAAGGAGTAAATCATGTGCTGGGGGATTTTTAAACTTTTCTTTTCAGTTATATTTTGGAAGGACCAAAAATAATATTCTTGGGGAGAGCTTGTAGAAACTATTACAAATGATTAGACTGGCTTGTTTTGTTGTTCACAATCTTTTCTTTATGTAACTTAATGGAGTGCGAAAATAGAATATCCCTTGCTCCAGCAACAATTACAAAGACCTTTACAGTTGACGCAGATCTTTTTTTTTTCCCGAGACACAACGTGCTCTGTCGCCCAGGTTAGAGTGCAGTGGCATGATCTCCGCTCACTGCAACCTCCGCCTCCCAAGTTCAAGCGATTTTCATGCCTCAGCCTCCCTGGCAGCTGGGATTACAAGCACATGCTACCATTGCCTGGCTAACTTTTTTTTTGTATTTTTAGTAGAGACAGGGTTTCATTATGTTGGCCAGGCTGGTCTCGAACTGCTGACCTCAAGTGATCCGCCCGTCCTGGCCTCCTGAAGTGCTGGGATTACAGGCGTGAGCCACCGCACCCACCCTGACACAGATCTTACTGTTAATGTGATACAGCGTCCATCTTGTTCTTTTAAACAACAAACTTTTACAAAGGCTTCTTTGTGCCAGACCTGTGCTGTATGAAATAAGGCATGTTTCTCTCTCAGGGAGTTCAGGTCTAGCAGTGGCAGTGTGGGAACCTCAAGGGGGACTGGAACTTGGGTTACAATAATTTGATTCTGTCCTGAGTCTACTGGAGCCTAGCCACCCAGTCTGTGCTATGGCAGAGATATTTTAAAACGGTTTTGTTTCAAACATTCACATGCCAAAGTTTAAAAAGTTAATTTTGTCTACAGCATAGCATAGCTTGGCAAACCAACAGAGATACCCAAAAGTATTTTGCAAGATTTTGGGGTAAAGGAGGACAGGCATCTGCCAACTGAAAAGTGAAACTGGGAAAGCTTAAGGGTTCCAGAGATTATTCTTTGCATCTGAAATCCCTTACTTAGAACATGTAAAGTCAAAATTATTTCGTGCATTCTCTTTGAAGAAACTCTCAGAAAATATTTGCTTCTCAAGGTCTGGATTGTTAGGGTGTGGTATTATTCTCTGACACCACAGTGATGGGAAGATGGATAACACCATTGAGTCGAGTGTTCTAAAACCCATCAGATTCCTATGGGCAGAGTAAATAATTGTAAAACAAGAAAACAGACAAAGAACTGAGTGTTCGTTTTCTCAAAGGAGATCATATAGCCAACTGGCAGATGTTGCTGGCCTTTTGGGGGTGGTGTTCTCTCCCTCTGGTAGAGGGTGGTTCAGGCAGTACAGGCTGGGTCTGTCTTGAGCCCATTGGTAGAGCTGGGTTACTGATGTAAACCCCCTTCGATAGAATAGAAAGAAGAAAGATGGCTTGACAGACATGTGGGGCCAGGGTGCGTGTGTACGATTTTCTGCATACTTTGGCAGTCACTTTGGTTACTGCATGTGGCTGTGATCCAACCACAGGCTTAACATAAGTTCACAGCCAATTCAGTGCAAAGCACTGGGAGCCATTGCACAATAAATGTTGGCCTCCTCCTCTACCCTTCCCCTTCTAGCATGTTTTACAAGATTTTGTTTTGTGATTGCCTTCTAGAATGGAGGGTTTAATTTCAGAATATTTGCAATTAAAGAATTCCTAACGTCCTAAAGCTTGCTAATCACACATATTAACAAGGACAGGGTATTACCAATTTTGAACACCTCCTGGCTGCTTGGGGCACCCTCATCTCATGACAGCTGCCTGGGTTCTCTCTGAATTTGTTGGAGAAGCACCTCTGCAGTACAGGAGCAAAGGAAGCTCCATGGCAAATGGGAAGAATTGCCATGTTAGATGGGCACTGGGAGACAAAGGGAATGTGATTTGAGAAGAGGGAGTTTCGGTTTTTTTGTTTTTTTGTTTGTTTTTTTTTTCCCTATTCTTAACCATGAGCAAAATCAGTCTCATCTTACTGTGAGAGGCGACTTCCTACTGGGCATTTAGTGGAGACTGCTGTCCATTTCTTCTAATGTCATGACTGACTGACTGGTGTCCAGAAGCCATCCCTCTAAGTAAAGTGTGGTCTCTTGGGATAGGCCTACTTTTCTTGGTAGATACTGCATGACTATCATTAGCTGGGTGTGGTGGTGCACGCCTGTAGTCCCAACTACAGGAAGGTTGCAGTGAGCCGAGATCGCGCCACTTGCACTCCAGCCTGGGTGACAGAGTGAGATGGTGTAAAAAAAAAAAAATAGAAAAAGAAAAAAGAAGAGATACAGCATGACTATGGAACATTTGAGGCTTTTTTTAAAAACTGTGCAAACTATTGCCCAAAAAAGAAAATGTTCGTAGGCTTTCCTCATGTTCTTTGTAGAGCTACCTTGCATGCCCTTGCCTTCTACAGTCACAGTGGAATCCATCTAGTTGAGTGGTTCTCAATTAGAGGTGACCCCTGCCCCTTCCCAGGGGACATTTAGCAATGTCAGGAGACATTTTTGATTGCCATGACTGGAGCAGGGTGTAGTGTGCTATGGGCATCTAGTGGGTAGACCAGGGATG